GGGGATACTGACTTGACCATACGAGGTACATGCTCTTGCTGCTCTTGCTGCAAAAGCAATAACGTGTCTGTCTTATTATGTAGACGATCCATGGTACACAGTGGGATATAAAGGTGACTCAAGGTTTCTAGTAAGCAATTACATTTCTCCTTTTAGGCAAAGATTTGGCCACAAAAGCCAGCTAATGGGTCTTACATAATAAAGGTTATTTTTCTATGTTTTAGTGGCTTGATAATGATTAGATTTCTCAAAATATGTTTACACTGAATACTAAATGGAAGAAGTTTGGTAAGGTGGCGGCTATGTAGCTGTGGATGTTTCATCTCTTCTTATTTGTAACAACTAATTATATGTGTCCTGTCCTAGACCAAGAGCTAAGCTCTCTGATTTGGTAAAGAGGTGTTTTGTCTTCAATGAATTTTAGGGAGGGGCAGAGCTGAGACGGCAGAGTAAAAGCAGTGACTTGCTTGAGCTCTACCTGAAACCCTTCCAAATACCTGTAAAAATGGCTCTAAACAAATGTGGGGAATTATGGGCACTGATGGTCTACATGGATTGTAGAAGCATCAAGGACTTTAGGAAAGGACCCTGGTTTAGCAAGGTAGAGATAAATCAGAGGGAGAACACAAAGATGACTAAAGGAATGACACCTTGGCTGAACCTCTATTTACATGATAGCACAAATCCCAGAAATCCCCATTTGCCACATTAGGCAATGCTCAAACTACTAACAATAGCAATGAAAATCCAGTGTTAAAACTTTTAAAAATGCATCGTAACAGCCTAAATAATTTTTCAAAGACAAATTTATAAAATATCTGTAGCAGCCTAATAGGCCTCAGGAATATATTCACCTTGGAGGCAGCATCTCAAGGGAACTATCTGTAAAACCCAATAGCCTCAGAAATAGCATTTGTTTCACAGGGATTAAGACAATTACTTTCACTCTAGTAATATTAGCTCATGAAACAAATAAAATTAAAGAAAAAGCCATTGATTCATTCAAATAAAATATTTGTTCAACGATAGAGTTTCATTTACAGAACTTATGACTCACAGGATGAGCAGTTTCAATATGAGCAAACAGTTGGCCGCTTATTAAACATCTTGAAGATTCCACTCATGCTCCTCATTCTCATTTAATTAAAGCAAATGAGCAAATAAGAAAAGGTTCAATATAATAAAATGTTGTTTAATTTAGAATGCTGGAAAATAACTATGTATTACCTATAAACTTTTTATCTTGCTGCTAGCCAACACAGTACTCTGTTCAAAGTAGATGTTTAATAAATACTTGTTGTATTTTTATTTAAATTCTGTATGCTAAATGGGGGAGTCACAAAGTTCAGATAAGATTCTGTCCTTTACTTTCATGAGCTTATAGCCTACTAGAGGAGATAATATACACTATTATGAGGGAAGTTTATTGGGACTAATGAAAACCAATACTATACAGTCCAAGGGGTGGTTCTTACCAACAAGGAAGAAGAGAATACATTCCAGAGGCACCTACATTCTCAGTGGGCTGTAAGAATATAACAGGCAAGGGGCAGCTAGGTGGCTCAGTGGATAGAGCACTGGCCCTGAAGTCAGGAGGACCTGAGTTCAAATCCAGCCTCAGGTCAAACAGTTGACACTTACTAGCTGTGTGACCCTGGGCAAGTCACTTAACCCCAACTGCCTAAAAGCAAAAAAACAAAAAAAGAATATAACAGGCAAAGAGGAAGGGGAAAATCCTTTCAGGCAGAGGGAACAAGGAAAGCCATGAACAAAAGCATAGAGATATGAGAATATGATGCTCATTAAAGGCATAACAGAATTATTTAGTTTGTTTGGACTTTACAGTACATGGAGGGGAATAATAGCTGATCAGGCTAGAAAGGAAGAATGGCATCAAATTGCAGAAGGCCTTGCAAGCCAACAAAAAGAGTCTGGACATTAGTGAGGGTTTGGGAAGGAGACTAATATAGAGTTACAAGATTTTGGAGCAGATGGACAGCACGACTCTATCTGTTCATTAGGTAGATTATTACTCTAATATAAAACATAGGAAGGATGGGTTGGAATGGTAATGGAAGTTAGAAGATGTATTCAAAAAATTTTTTAAATAGTCCATGAAAGCAGAAATAAATACCTGTACTAGAAAGGTGCCAGTAGGAATAGAGAGGAAAATGTGGAAGGGAAAATATGTCACTGTGGAGGCCAAATAAACAGGATTGAAGATGGTAGATTTAGAGCTTAAAGAGATCTTAGAGGTCATCAAGTACATCCCTCTAACTTTACATATAAGGAAACTAAGACCCAGACTGCTACATAGATTGTAAATGTCTGAAGCAGAATTAAAGCTTACGTCTTTCTGGCTATTAGAATAGGATTCCATCCACTGTGCTCTAACTATGAAATTGACATGGTTATTGACTGGATATAGTAACATGAAGGATTTAGAAATGGAAGAATAGCAGAATGGGAGCGCCACTGATAGAAATAAGGTCAGAAGAATCAGCAGGTTCAGGGGAAAAGAGTCTAAGCTTGGTTTTGCATATATGGGACATGAAGTGTTATAAGGCATCCAAATAGAGGTGACCTTTTGGTAATTTGAAATAGAAGTATCAGAATGGAGGTATTGGCTTCTTCCATATCTCTCTGAGCATCATTTGCATAGATACAATAATTAAAATTGTCAAGTGAATGGAATTGCCAAAGGAAAGTATGTAAAGTGGGAAGAAGTGATGGCCTAGGACAGAAACTTAGGAAATGCCCTCCTTAAGATGTCTGGAAGGGAATGAGGAACCAGCAAATGAGAAAGAGAAAGGGGGTGAGCTAAATAATTTTGTGCTATAATTGAAAACGCTAATATTTTGCTGGAGTGAAAAAGAGGAGTGGCTTATGAGATAAATCTTTTAAACTCAGCAGTGAAATTTATCTTCCACAATGGCAACAATGGTAATTTAGGGAAAGCTGACAGAGAGTAAACAATATGATATAAGAGTTGGTTAAAAAGTATACTTTTTTTTTTGTCTAGGCAAAGATGTTAAATGACTTGCCCAGGGTCACACAGCTAGTGAGCATTTTTAAAATGTATAGTCAAAGAGAAAGGAAATTGTTTAATCTGGAGAAGAGATGGCATAATAGTAAAAACTAATTTCTTATAGAACTCATCATTCTTAACATGGCTTGTCAATGGAATAGACTAAAAGTCTAATCATATTACCACAAATATGACCATTCTACATATGGCAAAATATGGCTATTTATTAAGGGGAGTTAATTTGCCTTTTGAAACATTAACATTATAAAATGGATTCACTAATAAAGTGCATTTCGTTTCCATTTTCACAAAAGAAAAAAGAAAGAGAAAAATAGAGGGTTACAACTTATTTCATGAAAATCTGGAATAAAAGATAATAGAGCATGTTCTTGAAAATCAGTATTATTCCATATACCTAGTAACTAAAATAAATCATCATAGGTATGAGGAAATCCTATAGTGAGCCTAAGAATTATTAGGTAATTAACCTTAGGAAACAATTTACTTAACCTGTGTATCATAGCTTCTTTTGGGTCTGTAGCTCACAGGAACATTTGTCAATGGCAGAATCACATAGGTTTTAGAATCTGATCTTTATATTTAGTTTTGTTCCACATAAACAGAAAAAAACCAGAAATTTGGGAAATATCAGCTTGTTTTATCAGTGTAGACAGTCAAATCAAATCATTCAGACAAAAACAAAACAAAATAATATTTTAGAGGATAAATCATTCAAATAGTTACTAAAAACTATTTCCTTTTGCTTAAGTCCATAAAAAGTTAAAGTGGTGTAATAGCAAACTGGTCAGTATATTTCTTAGATATTCTTAATTGTGATTTTGCATTATCCACAATGGATACAGTCTGAGGTAAACTACAGTGATCATGAAAATTGGATGCAGCAGCTTTACTGAATGGTTTTAAGCACATATGATAGCTTCTGTTGGCTTCATATAGATATGACTATGTGTTCTGTGTCATATGAGGAACAGTAGAAAGAGTTTAAATGGCTCTTAGTCATAGAAAAATAAATAGATACATAAATAGATAGACAAATATAGTTATGGTTCAAATAACTTTTTTTTTAAACTATACTTTGGGCTACTGAATTGGAGCTCTAAAAAAAGATCAATTTACTTCAATGGATAAAAGTAGAAAACCTATAGTTAGCATAATTTGAACCCTATATAATAAATATGTTATATTATATAATAAATAAAAATAATAATAAACTGATTAATGAGATGAATTCCGGAAGGTCCATTGTTGAACTGATATGTATAACCAACCTTTCTGCCCAAGCAGAGATAGAATCAATTTCTAGATTGTAAACTATTTTAGGCAAGCAACTACATCTTATTTATGTTTGTATGCCTAACCATAACTAACACAGCATTTTACACTGCATATAAATAAGGGTACAATGCATAATTATTGAATATTGGAGAATTTCCTTGTAATCTTAGTTAACTGTTAACATTTTCAAACATATGTGACATTTAAACATGATCACTTTCATTTTCAATAATACAGAATAAGCTAGTTACAACACAACAAAGGAGATGGATTATAAATGGCTAACCTTTTAAAAAAGTAGTGCTGGGAAATTGAGAAATCAATAATTCCTTATGTCTTGCTATAATATGCTTTCTTTCACACAGGAAGATGCCAGTGGTTCAGCCTTTAAGTTATCTTTTCCAAAATGATAATTCTTTTGTATGGTTAGCCATATTCCTATTCCTGTCTTCTTTATTATTATGCCATTCTGTGATAAAACTTGTTGGGTTAAATGTCTGTCTCTGATTTTGAAAAAGTATAAAATATTTTTCTATGTGATACTAACAGATATAAACATGGATCAAAAAGCCGAGGCTGTAGTTTCATCAGCAACAGGTGTTGAGAGTTGTACTAAGCATCAAAGGTCAATGCCATGTTTGGAATAAACAAGCTTTATGAGCACAATCCTACTTACCACAATTGGCTTCATCTGATGCATCAGCACAGTCTGGATCCTCATCACAAACCCATAGCTTAGAAATGCAGTGTTTGGTAGTTTTACACTGGAAATAGTCTGGTGAACAGCTGTTTTCCGCTTTAAAAGAAAACATATATTATGGTTTGTTCTGTTCAAGAAACAATCTTTTAAATATTGATTTAATCTTTTTTAAAGATTAATTATTGATTTTAATCAATAAAATATTGATTTAAAATGTTAAATATTCAACTTTGTTTAAGAATGTTAATAAGGAAATTTGTTATATCTTAGTAAACCAGCTCTGAAGGTAGATTATATTTTTGTGAATTTTTTTCTAATATGTTTTTTCTTACGAAAAAGAGACTGCTTTCTCTTTTGGTGATATTTAATACAATAGAAAAATCTTCCTAGTTATTGGGTTTGAAGGATGGAAACCAATAAAGCAAAAGTTAAAACATTTGTGACATTTCACAATTTGTTCACTTTGTTCACCAAAAAAGGAGATGAGCAATTCTATTATATGTAGTTAATGAATTGAGAAGGTTTTTAGCATCTAAAAGCTTTAGGGAAATAAGAGGAATACAAACTGCTGCCACAATCTCAAAAATTGTGTCTTAGGGATTGGAGAAGAATGAAAGGAAGATTTTGACTGTAAACTGCATCACAAATCCCAGTTTAATGGGTTGGCTTCTAGAATGGCTAACCATAAAGAACTGGTGCTGACTTTATTCTGTATGTGCCATCTTAATCAAATTGCTGGATGACTGAACATTTTACTGATAAAAGTTCTAAAGTAAAAAAATAAAACTTCAGTGAGACAGAAACTGTTGACAACAGATTTGTAGACAGTTGGAAACTTCAAAAAACCTCTGACATTCTGACACCTTTTTCTGGGGAAGGAAAATATTTTCTACTTACTTAATTATGTTTTTGGATAGGGAAAAGAGATAAAGGTGAAGTGATATAAAGAGGAAGATAGTTCTATTTTTGTTATTGTCTCTTGGAGTGAATTAAATGGAAAGTCTCTATTATATAAAATTATATTTAAAATATTCTATAATATTATTTCCCAATGCTTTTTAAAATTATACTTAGCAACTCAGATCCAACATGAAAAAAATCCCCATTTGATAAATTTTATTTTGCTTATTTCACAAGCATTATATATGCTTGAAGAGAATAGTTGGCCCATGTGACTGAAATAATAAAATTGATTTGGAAAATCTGAGTAAATAATATGAATAAACTATCATCTTTTATCTAATATAGTGAAAATGCAATTATTGAACAAATGAAGACTTCTTTGATTGTTTCTCTCATTAAAAATGAGTAGCTCAATTTTCAACTTTCTATGCCCCACTATTCAACCCTCCTGAATGGAGAGCTGAATTTTAAAAGATAACTATTAGAGAGATGAATGTACCACGCAGTTTTGAGGAGACAACCTCTTAAAATATTACATTTATAAGATTGGACTCTAGATTTTATATAAGGACTCCCTGTGAAGGAAAGTTTGCAGTTAGTTTTCTTAGACTATGTTTAATGGCATACTTTAGATAGAAAATATTATGAAAAGTTTCCTTTAACATTTAAAAGGAAGAATCAATAAATGACATTTGTCCAGAAAATAAGTAGTTCTTTCCTCTACCAGTCTATGTCAACTGAAACTTTTCTAGTTAAAGCACAATTTTCAAAAAGCCAAACTAAAATATAATTGATATCCCTTCAACTTCCCCTGAGAATGAGAACTTCTCCTGATATCAATCTGTGAATTTACTGTAGGGAGACAGTGTACTGTATGTCAAACATATTTTATTTTGTGTGAAGGGCTTTTTGCCCACAATTAAATCAAGTTGGCTTTAGAAAGTTATTTTTTTTAACCTAAGTATTATAGAACAAGTCCAGTGACAAGACATGCAATTAAAACGAACACAAAACTCCATAAAGAAGATGCTTTCTCGGCCCTAAACAAGGGCCTAGTTATCCTAACTGTGACCAGGCCCTGACAGTCAATTGTAATGAAATTTGACCTGGAACAATAATCAGAATGGTTCTTTGTAATAAGTATGCTATATTTTCATGCAGATGTCACTTGCAATTTAGGAATATCAAGTGGAAAAAAGCTACTATGAAAGAAAAATGATACTGAGGTTTGAGCTGTGGCCACTGCTAATGTGGAGATAATGGGCAATTAAAACCATACAAGACAAATACTTCCACCTTTTAATAATAATGGTGATGGGGAGAAGGAAAATTGTTTTAATATTAAAACCAATTTCATTCTCGAAACTTTTTCATGATTTCTAACTGTCTCTTTGTTAAGACAATAGATTTTTTGGATTTCTGCTTGCATTTACTGCATATGAGTATTTTAAATGGGCCACCTTAGCTATTTCCGCTGAGTCATGGCCTGACTTGGTATCTGTCTACAAGGCTATATCAAATCATCAGAAAATGCAGATCTGTCCAGCTTCCAGCAAAGGTCATTGGTGACACAGAGCACTGTGAGGATAACTTACGGCAATCCCTTTCATCTTCTTCATCACCACAGTCATCTTGTCCGTTACACCTGAGGTTTATCGGGATACATTTTTGATTCTTGGTGCACTTGAACTGACCTGACAGGCAGACATGCGTGTCTGAAAGATAGAGAGGAAGAGAGAAATCAAAACTGAAGCTTGGGTTTGAATATAAATAGATCTGAATGTAATCAGCTAAGAATTAGATTCACATTCTTAACTTAGGTATGCAATTACCCACCACAGTTGAGTTCATCTGAGTTGTCCCCACAATCATTTTCTCCATCACAGATAAAAGCTGGCAGAGCACAAAGTCCAGTTCCACATTGAAATCGGCCTGGTTGACATTTAAATTCAGCTGGGGAGGGAGGAAGAATAAAAAAAAAAATTAAAAAGCCTTATGGAAATGCAGGCTTGGCTCACAGCTTATTAATACTGCTTTTCTGACATTCAAAATATTTATTGTATTATTATTCTAAATGTTTCTTGAAGTTAAATGTTAACGTCTCACAATCAAATAGTGATCTGATTCAAATGGGTTGCTAATCTAGGGATAACTCAAACTGCCTCCAGATTATCATTTACAAAATCACGGTGAGGAAAACAAAAGAATATGGAGGGACACATAAATGTATTCTGATTGTAATAAAGTTATATTGGTACAAGTGAAGAGGATGGACTATCATTCACAAAGAACATTCTAAACACATTTGAAAAAGAAAATCATATACTAGCCTATCTTTGTATTCCCTGTGATATGCAGGAGGAATTTGGGTTGTTGTTTTGTTTTGTTTTATCTTTCTTGTAAAGATATATTCTCAAATACTGACTATATCAGAATAACTCATTTCACTAATATATGCTGTCTGTAAGTTTCCACTGATATTTACTATTCCAATTTCCCATTGGATAAAGATGACATGTTTTATAATAAATATTGGAATATTTTGCTTGCAATAAAAATTGAGATGTTACCATAATGAATAACTCTTAATAGCAAAATTATTATGTGATATCCATTGTGCACATATACAAAAAAAGTCACTTTGTGAATAAGGCCCATAAAGTGTATTACTAAGCCCTGGCACAAAAATCTGTAATCTGACAATTGTTTCTTAATACATTCCAGTGAATTAATTCAACTAAGTAATTCAGCAGACTCCTTCAAAGCATCTTCTATGTGGAAAAACTTGTGTCAGTCACTGGAGATCCAAAGGTAAAAAATGAACGATCTCTACTTTCAAAAAGCTTATGATTTATAAGAGAGGACACAAAAATCACCCAAGGAAACCAGGAAGTAAGGTATGATAGTGGCAAAAGAAAGATTCAGAGAAAATGAGCGAGAAAAAACCAGAGAGGGAGAGAACACTTCCAGCTGGGGAGGATAATAAAGGAAGATCTCCTAGAGAAGATGGCTTCTCAGCGCATCCTTGAGGAAAGCAGAGGATTTCAACAGCAGAAATAAGGAGATATGTTTCCGGTTTGTGGGAAGTCACAGAGGTATGTGATATAAGAACAAGGTTGGAAACAGCAAATAAGAAATGACATTATAAGAATCTTATTTTTTTTTCCCCTTTGGTACTTATTAAAACTATTACTTTTTGCTTAAGTGCATAAAAACAAATCAAAGTGTGTAACAGCAAACTGGTCAGTATGTTTCTTATAAATATTCTTAATTATAATTCTCCATTAATCCACAATGAATGTATAGATACTGCATAGAACTATAGTTGTGCTGTTTTCATGGCTTATCTCATCTCATCTTGTATTATGGCTCTTTGTCCGCCTGTTGTATCTCCCTAAATTTTAAGCTCTATGGAGGCAGAAATTGTTTCTTATCTAAACTTGGTACCTCTTCCACTGCCCATAATGATGTTTTGCCCACAACAAACATTTCTTGAAAGAAAATGTTTTGATTTTGTTAAATTTAATGGTGAATTTTACATTATGTCAGGTATTCCAACTTTGCAACTTTCACTTTCTCTCCTCATAAGCATTTCCTAGGTTTACCTTTTATTTTTTCAATCCTGAACTGCAGGCACAATCTCTGAAAAAATTTCTTTAAATTCAAAACTTTCTCAGTCTATAATAAGGCTCTCAGGCTATATAATAAGAGTTAAATTACTAGAAGAAATACTTCCAGTACAGCAGTCCTAGAGATTTTCCCGTTGTGACTGCTGAGACAGTGAAGGATCATAAGGAATATTATTTCTAGAGTTATACAGTACTAACAGGAGAGATCATTATCTGTGATGTGGGGGCCTGGTGAATCATCCTAATAATATCTCTTTGTCAATACATATGTCCTAAATTAGAACTTGGAAAAACTCCCATTGGAACTGGTGAACTATGGAGGGTTAACTAAAATATAGTGTAAGACTAATCAATTCAAGTAATTTTCTATGCATAGATGCTGTTTTCCAAATAGTTTTGTTTGTTTTTGTTTTGTTTTGAATTACTAGAATTCTGGAGAATTGTGTTGTTCCAACTTGCTTATATTTAGTGAGATAAGAATGGTGCCTTTCCTCACTATGACTAAGGATCTAGCATTCAATTGTCAATGTCAAAATCATGGCAACCATCATGAGGGACATTGAAGGTGTTATCAAGATTGATTGCAACCCACCTTCAATCTGACATAGCAGTACTAGAGTGGTCAACTCTGTGACCTCTAAGAGACTGTCACAGGAAAGTCTCCTGCTGATTGCACAATATGACCAAAGTTAACAGTGATGCTTTAAGAAATAGTACCTTGCAATGTCACTCACACATAGGTCTCTGGACACAGTTTGGTAGCAACTGTGACCTTTGCAGCTGTTCAAAGCATGAGTGCTTACAAAGTAGCAATGTTCAAGATTAGTTAATAAAGAAATACAAATTTGAAGGTTCTTTTCAAAATTTAATACTGACAGAAAAGTTGGGAAACTAGATCTCTTTAAAGGTAAAATTTTTGTTTGCAACATGTCAAACATTTTATTTTTTTTTGTCTTCTAACTTTGTATCATGTCACATCAAAACTATATTGAATATACCTTTACAAAAAGTTACATTTGGATTGTAGTTAATTCACAGATAAGATCACCTCAGAAGTTATGTAATTCTTGAATAAAGGTGTGGAGTCATTCTAAGTATAACAGTAATCCATAACTTTTTTTAAGACTTCTAACTGTCACTTCAGCATGTTTTTAAAATTATGAGTGGTGTGAAAAACATTTTTTAATTTTAAAAGGTAGCAAAAGGCAGGATTTGAGTCCTACATTCAATTTTTGTAGGCATATATATGATTCAAGAGGTTCTAAATTTTAAATATCTTCATTTCTAAATATACTCACGACAGTCATCAGGTTCATCAGATCCATCTCCACAGTCATCCACAGTGTCACATTTCCACCAGAATGGGATACATTTATCAGTTTTGCATCGAAACTAAAAAGAGAACAATTAGTCATGCTGCATATCATATATATGTGTTACATGTGTATGTATACACATGTGCATGTACATGATGAAAATAAGAATATTAAAGTAGATGTTAAAAGCCCATTATGAATATTTAAGAAGTTTTGCAGGCAGAGAAATAATCTGTAAAGGAATTAGTCCCAAGATTTGCTAACTAATTAGAAGTTCCATTGATAGTTATTAGAAATAGACAGAAGTAGCATGAACAGAGATGACCTAGAGGCTTATGACGCACTAGCAAAAGCTGAGGAATCAAAAATAGAATTTAAATTTCCCAGACAACTCCCAGAAACTTCCACAGGAGTTGTAAAAGATGAGCTCTACCCTGGGATAGTTTCCTGACTGAATGACCAGGTTCTTCTTGTAAAAATTGCTTAAACATTAGAAAATGTTCTACTTCTACTCCCCCAACATATTCTATCTAAACCTGATTTATCAGGGAAGAAATCTTTTATTAAGACAATTCAAGCCAATATAGCAAGTATGTCCAGTCATTATGGATTATGATTTGACTTGACTCACAATCATCTACGGTCAGTTGTCAGAAAGCATAACAAAAAATGCTGACAATAGAGCATGAAGTAAAGCTATGAAATTTTTTACAGTTGATTTTGATAAAGTAGATTAAGGGAGAGAAAAACTGTTGATAATGACTTTTTTTTCAAATAATCCATAAAGCCACCCACTTCAACATGAATGTACATTATTTTCTCATATTCCTTACTGGCTAAAGAAAAGAAAAAGATAACAGTGACCAGTAAAAGCACTAATTTCCCAACTGAATACTCTAAAATCTGATGGTTTCTCTTTCTGAATGAAGTGTCAGGTAAAAATGAGAAACTGTAGAGGGCCCAAGATTCTACAACGGGCTCTTTATTCATAGGTGACTTGGTTTTCATTTGTCCTAATTCACAAGTAATAACAATTCAGAACAATATTATTGCCACATATCAGTCTATGTAAATCAGGCCAGTGGTTTTTGTCCCATTTCACTCAGAAGCAGAAATACTATTGTCCCTGGTAATATCACTGTTGGCCTACTCAGCAGAGACCAAGAAAGCATAGATAATGTATTCCTGCAGGTACCTAAGACCATAAATAATCCCTTTCTCAGCAACATTCTGTTCATCTCTCACCTACAGAAAGTACAGAAAACAGAAAAGTGTTTGTTTTCTCAAGAGAAGGCATGCACTTGAAATTTTTTGACAGAGTAAAAGTGTCTCTTCTATGCCAAACTCCTTTAATTATGTCAACCAGTCAGCAGAACATTCAGGCAATTCCCCCAGGCTTAGAATAAAAACTCCATCCCCTCCCATTGTCCCAAAGAAAATTCAATGAAATGCACATTTTGCAATATTCTTCCCAAATTAAAGAGATAGAGTTGATGGCTCTTTGTAGTTTAGTCATTCAATAGATTTCATGAAATCTTTTTTACAACATTTTCCTGTAACTAACAGTGAAGTTATTTGCATTATCTTCAGTTTTGATAAGAGATACAGATAATAGAAAAATTTAGTCACATATAATATTTCTCCAGTGAAAACTGATGTTCCCAATATATGGCATTCTATCTCAATCTTCTGGGTCTTGGCCAGTTTATGCAGTATTACACCCACACACACCTCCCCAACTCTTCCCTCTCATACCTGAAATGGTCTCACTCCTCATCTCTGCCATTTGTAACTGCCAGCTCCCTTAATTCAGCTGTTTGGACTTTCCCCATGACCAGCCTCTTACCTCTTCTCTAATTATTTTGTATTTTTTGTATTTACTTAACTATATATGAACTGTTTAGTCTTAGTAGAAAGTAAACTCCTTGAAGTTTGTAAAAATTGTTTCATTTTTGTCTTCTTAACCCTACCTCTTAGGACAGTGTCTTGCATATGGTCAATGTCTTATAATTGTTCATTGGATGGAGTAGAACTAGCAGGCAATATGGCCTCCAAAGTACCCTTTTAATGTGTGCTGGCTTTCTTCAAAACAACAGAGGGCTTGTTAGCTTTTGCTGGACTTGTTTTGCATGACATTAAGCTGATCCAAGGGCAGACACTGCCATTAACTTTAATGTGACAGTGAATATATTCTGTTAACATGAAGAAAAACGTGAAGGTGGTGAAAGGCATCTCTGTGACTGTATTAGTTTCTTAAGGAATGGAAAAGGATGAGAAAAGGTCACAGGCATTGTTGTACAAAGCACATTTGACTTGGGATAAGGGTAATCATAATTTTATTAGCTCAGTTGGTTCTTCACCATATCTTCTATCCCTCAGCAAATTGTTGTGCATTTGATTATTCATCTTTATTAAAGGTCAGTGGAACTGATTTGGAAACCTGTTTGTTATCTTTGAACAACAGGGCTATGAATCCAAGTGACAATGTGACCGTTCTGCTGTTCTGCCTGTATCATCTAAGCCTGTATTCATGTCTGTTGTGTTTCTGCCTCCCATGGCTCTGGGAGAAGGCGGAAAATCATTCTGATAGACAGTGATTGACTAGTGATATAATGCCTTGGTAAATACACACACACACACACACACACACACTGGACATTCCATTTCATAGACAGTAAGTACAACTGATTAAATGAAGCACTTAGGAGTCTCGTGACACTGTACTATTTTTAAAGTCTTTCAAACAGTGATTTTTAAAAATCCCTAAAAATTTTTATTCACTAGATAAATCTTATTAAAATAAACACTAACTATTGGAACCATATACAGCCCCATGATTTGCTGTCTGTTTAATTTTTAATAGATATATAAAAAGACATTTGAGTAAAGAGAAAGCAAGGGTAAAATATATTTATCATGTTATAGTTTTTATGCTAATCAGCATCTTTTCATTGCTCTCAGAAGGAAGATCTTTTCTATTTCTAGTCTGTGATCCATTTTTCATCCTTAAACTCAGTAACTTAAAGAAGATTAACACTAAATATAAATGTAAAGTATCCTTCACAGTAAATGTTCCCCAAGACTAATATCTTCATAAAATAAATTAAGGATTACATTCTTATCACCCACAAGAAGTGAGGACTATAAAGTAATTACTAAAGGAAATTCATCCTAACACTACCACAAGAATAAGGGACACAAAATCCCATTATGTACTCTGCTTTAGTAGAAGTAGAAGTCTTCATTTAGATCATCACTTGGTAACATTCAAAAAAGAAAAGCCATTTACTTTTGAAAAGGTTAGTGTTAAAGGGATTTTCCCTTGAAGCTCTGAAGAAAGTTCCTCTTTATCTCCACTTGGGTCTCATGCATTTTAATTCCCAGTGGAATTAATATGAATACAATAAAGTCTGATTTTGTGAGCTATTAATTTTATAGAATTGCTCTACTACCATTGGCATGATGTCATTGGTTATAATGATCTTGTGATGATAAAAAAATCCACAATTTACAAAATTACATATACAATCAGTTGTCCATCAAAAATGTATTGCACTACATGAAAGTAGTTTACAATTTTTGTGAAGTAGTATGTGGTTCATTGTTTGCCTTAAATTGCCATCTACATTGCTTAAAATTATGTTTCCATGCACTGGCCTCTAACATGTAGGCAATGGGGTAAGGAATGTAACCTGACTTGCTATCTACCTTTATCATTTCATAATAATCAGAGGTAAGCCCAACTGACTGTCCCACAAATCAAATGACTTACAGGACAAAACAAAACAAAACAAAACAAAACAAAACAAAATTCTTTCCAGGTATCATTCTTGAAAATAAAATAATGAATCTGGTAATGAAATAGTCACATAGTCCACAGAGGTTAAACTTTTTTTAGGTCTCAAATCTGTGATCCAGAAGAAGATAAATTGTAAACATCTGCATATATCACTTGAGAAACAGTTTTATGAGCCAGGTTGTAAGAGTATACAAATTCTATCAATTTTTGGTAATGTATCTATATATTATAATTATCTCTGACGATGACTAAAGCTAGAGAAATTACATTACATGCCACCTGTTTGACAAAAACCTCCCTCCTAGATTCGTTTAGAAGTGATATCCAACAACACTTTGTCCATACTTTTCATGTCACTTTTTCCATTCTATCTTATATTAGAACTACTTCTCTATATTCCTTATAACCCATACTAGACTGCAATCTCCTTAGCTCCCTAAGTTTTGCATCCCTCACAATACCTGGCACACTTTATTACTTCAATAAATCTTTGTTGAATGAACCAATCAGTGACCACGAATATAATCCTTTTGTTTTGCCTTTAACTGCTATTTCTTAAGCAATGAAACACAGTTGACTCTGAACTGGGTTTACATGTTGCAAAGTGTCAAAAAAAATTCAATCAATTATTTGTATGTTTCGTTTAAGCTTAAACTGATTTTTAAAAAAATTAATCAAACTGATTGCTGATATTGCCATAGCTTGCCTCATGCATTTGTTTATTAAAAGAGTTATTCTATTTCTGGGCCATAATTAATACCTTTCACTGTTCTTGATTACGGCTTACAGGGTGAGGTAATGTTTCAGTGTGACAAAGCATTTTGGGGTTTACTACCTACTTATGTTTGGTTGCCTCAGTTTATCTTACAGAAATTGCTATAATCATCAGTAATGCAGGATGAGATAGGAAATCATGCCACATCATGGTATCTGAGTACTATCAGATTACTATTAAAATTATTAGGATCACAGGACAGTAGGTTTAGAACTGGAAGGGGCCCTACAAGTTATCTTGTCTCAAATCCTCATTTTAGGGATGGAATAATTGGAATTTGATAGAAGTTCAGTGATCTGTTCAGGGCTGCATAGGTTATAAGTGGTAGATGTGGTATCTGAAGCCAGGAATTATGTCCAAATCTAGCAGTCCTTCCCATATCAATAAAAGCCTCCTCTGATGTCTCACTGTGGCATGTAGGTGACTCTAAGTCTTTGCATGCTATATGGTAGCAGATCGCAAGCTTTGGTAGATCCTACCAAGCTAGAAATGTTTTGAGTAA